GCTTCCTTTTGGAGGTATAGGAATTTATTTAAGTAGCTTTCCTGTAGTCCAAAGATTAGGTAGCTCTGATTAGAGCTCTAGATTGAAAATTAGTGGAAATAACCTCTTGCAGAACTTGTCTAAATTTAGCTTGGCTTCAAACCAGTAAACTATAGCCTCTACAACTTTGTAGACAGATTATAGCTCATCAGTATGACTGAAAAATCACTGTGGAATTGCTCTGTAACAGTTCTGTTGCTATGCCTATAAATATAATTTTACTGAGAGACTCTTCCATTTTCTAGCTCCTCGGTATCCTTTCCTGTGTCAAACGAAAGGGCCTCAGGAATATCGTAAATGACAAATTAAAAGAGTCTCAGATAAAACACGGTAAGTCAACACTAAATTATCAGTGGTTAATAAAAGAAAAAAATCTGAAATCCTTGGATTTCAGAAGTAGTTTTAAAAATCATGTCTTGCAACTGATTTTAGCTTAATCTCATATACAAGTCTAAAAGGTAAAATGAAATTATTTGAATTTCACTTACATTCCACTATGCCTAACATATATATATATGTTATGATATATATATGTTATGATAAATATATGTATGATATATATAATATGATATATATGATATATGTATAATGCATATAAATAAATAAATAAATAAATAAATAAATAAATGTATATTTTTAAAAAGCATTATTTAGGCAAATGGATACTGTTACCTAAAGAAAAAATTTAAAGGCTTCTCTAAGGGGCAAGAAAAGAAGGGAATCAGATGTTGTAGCTGGGCAGAGTTTGAGTTGTAGGGGAAAGGAAAAGAAAAGAATCTGGAAAACTGTCTTAATTATTTTATATCAAAACAAACAAACCAAACAGGACTAGAGCAGACTGTCTGAACTTTGTACTTTTCCTCTTCCATAGTATCTTTGTGTATATATAGCTCATTTTCTACTTACTTTCCTATTTCTCTGTAGCTTTGTTCTCAAAGTGTGATCCAGCGTCAGAATCACTCAGGGTGCTTGATAAAGACAGATACTTTACAGATGATCCAGATGTACTGCAGGTGTAGGGCCTGGCAGTCTACAAATTTAGCAAAGTTTCCAAGAAATTCTTGGAAAAAATACAATTTAAGAACAACGACTAGGAAGCGTGTGATAAGAAACTGTAAGGAACCCAAGGTCTACCTTCCTCCTGTTTCAATTAAGACTTTACTCTCTCTCTCTCTTTTTTTAATGTTTATTTATTTTTGAGAGAGAGAGAGAGAGCATAAGCATGGGAGGGGCAGAGAGAGAGGAAGACACAGAACCCAAAGTAGGCTCCTGACTCTGAGCTGTCAGCACAGAGCCTGATGCGGGGCTCGAACCCATGAACCGCAAGTCAGATGACTAACCGCCTGAGCCACCAAGGCGCCCCACCTGAAAAATTCTCTGTGCCTTATTTCTCATTTTCTTGACATTGTCTTTCACAGAGAAGATTTTTTTTTTTTAATTTTAATGGACTCTAGATTATCAATTACTTATTTCATGGATCCTGCCTTTGGTGTTGTATCTAAAAAAAATCCATCAGCGTACTCAAGGTGATCTGGGTTTACACCTGTGTTGTCTTCTAGGCGTTTTATAATCTTGTGTTTTATGTTTAGGTGTGTGATATTTTTGAGTTAATTTTTGTGGAGAGTGTAAGGTATGTATGTGGATGATGATGAGTGTTATTTTGCATATGGATGTCTTGTGGTTCCAACGCCATTTGTTGAGAGACTGACTTTTCTTCATTATATGGCTTTTGCTCCTTTATCAATGATCAGCTGACTAAATATATGTGTGTGTGTGTGTGTGTGTGTGTGTGTGTGTGTGTGTGTGTATGGCTCTATTTCTGGGCTTTGTATTCTGTTCCATTGATTTATTTGTCTGTTATTCCATCAGTATTATGCTGTCTTGGGTACTATAGTTTCATATTAGCCCTCCAAATTTATTCTTTTTCTTCAATATCATGTTGTATATTCTGGGTCTTTTGCCTCTTAATATAGACTTCAGAATCAATTTTTCAATATTCACAAAATAACTTACTGGGATTTTGATTGGGTTTGCATTGAATCTATAGATCAAGTTAGGAGAACTGACATCTTAATAAAATTCAATCTTCATATCCATGATTATGGGACATCTTTCCACTTAGTTCTTTTCTTTTATCCATGATAGTTTTACAAATGCTTATTTTTAAAACATTTTAGAAATAGATACTGTATTATAGGGTAATAAAGATTTTTTGATCTAGAAAAAAAATTAAAAATAGAATTTTACCTGATATAAAAAATCCTGAAAGTTTGTTTTCATAAAGTTCAGCATAAGCGCTTAGTTTTCTTATGCTTCAAAGTTTAAAATGAAATAGATTTCTTTCCTGCTTAAATAAACGGGCTGGTGTGAGGAGTAAGTGGTTCAAATACATAATCATCTCTATAAATGTCTCTGTGGCAGTTGAAAATAAACATCTCAATGTGCTTCCTTCCCTTCCCTTCCCTTCCCTTCCCTTCCCTTCCCTTCCCTTCCCTCCTTCCTTCCTCCCCTCCTTCCTTCCTTTCATTTTCCTTTCTATATCTTCCCTGTCTCCTTTCTAGCAGCAGCACTTAAATTGACAAATACAGAGATTAACTATATCACATCTTGTAATGTACATGCTATTTTAATGGTTGTGCAAAGATTATAAGAATTCTCCAGTTTACCTAATTTTACATAAGCTGTTAGGACTAAATTTCTATTTAAAAAAATGTAATAAATACAGTGTGTGGCTTGAAATTCATGCAGTATGCTTTGAGAGCTACCCCAAAATTAAGAGTGACTCCTTTGTCTGGATAAGACTACACTTTGAATCATTTAATTACAACAAAACAAAATATTAAGATGCCGAGAAACAAAAATTCATGTATTGCATCACCCTTTGTTTTACATGATGTGGATAGCCCTTCAAAATACTTAAGTAACACATGCGTAGCCTTTTTAAAGTTCAATGTCTTATGCTTGAATGGTCCATCACCCCTTCCCCGTGTGAGTCCTGTGAGGGTTACTCTTCCCTATGACACGGCCTTTCTTCACTTGCTGACCATAAGGCAGTTTTTGGAGGGGATCTTAGGTCATCTGGGCATAAATTGTTCCTTTAATTTTGATGTATAAAGGAAATGGACTGTGAAGGTGGGTGTCAGGGAAATATGAAAGAATTGAAATAGATTAAAAGATGAGTAAATGAACTGTCCAGCATAATCCCCCAGGATGTCTCTGGCTTTCATTGTTTTTGAGCTATTTTACAACTTTATAAATTGTGAGACGATATTCACGCAAATGGGTTTCTTTAAAAATTATGCAGTTGTGTGCAGTGAAATGCAATTGATTGTTACTCTGTCAATAGACCTGTTTTGCCTGTATGTGGCTTTAAATGTTCCTCCTTTGAAATGGTTGTAATATCTTGCTGTTTCTCTTATTAATTAATGATTTAAGCAAAATGTTTGAAATGTGTTCATTTTATAGCTATATGAACTTACGATTAAACAGTTTTAACACATTATTATTTAACACCATTTAATTTACTATCTAGTTCATAAGTACTCCCCTCTTTACTTTCTCCTAAATCACAAAAACTTAGTTGAAATTCTTAGCCCATTGACTTAGGTTAAGTACTAAAGCATGAACTCTTCCTAAAAGTCCCCTTGGAAACATCATATTCTAGGTAATTTTTATCACATCAAACCTATGCTAGTATTCTTTGCTCTAGAACTGGCACCTACTCCAGATTCAGTACCATTTTCCAGTCATATCCTTCGTCTTGGTAAATATGAAATACGTTTGCTGCATATTTGATATGACCACTATTATTTTGATATAATTGCTCTAATTCACATATCACATGGTATTTTTGTAACAGAAGGGATTCTGGCTGACCTTACAGCTATGTGCTGCTTTATTATATCCATATAGGTAGGATTTCTTAATGAGTTTTGTTTTAACAAACCTAGCCTCTATAATGCATAAATATCCAGTATATAATAGAGAGTCAGTATTAATGAATGTGCCGGTTGTTATTTTGCTGTGGTTGATTTAAAAATGAGAAAAAAAAAAAGCAGGCGTAAAATCAAAAGCATGATTTACTTGTTAGTCATGGTGATAAATAAAAGAAAAAAAGGAAGGAAACTGAAAACTGGTTCCAGAGTTGTTACACATAGAAATGTTAAATCGCTAAAAACTGGGAAGTAAAAGCATTATGCTCTTTTTATTAGGTAACACAGATACCTGCTTTGTATTAAAAATCATTTTTGGGGGCGCCTGGGTGGCGCAGTCGGTTAAGCGTCCGACTTCAGCCAGGTCACGATCTCGCGGTCCGGGAGTTCGAGCCCCGCGTCAGGCTCTGGGCTGATGGCTCGGAGCCTGGAGCCTGTTTCCGATTCTGTGTCTCCCTCTCTCTCTGCCCCTCCCCCGTTCATGCTCTGTCTCTCTCTGTCCCAAATAAATAAATAAACGTTGAAAAAAAAAATTAAAAAAAAATCATTTTTGGTAATCCTTAAGCGATTATTTTTCCTGTCGATAGTTTGTTGTGATTATAGACAAACCCAGCCTCTCTCCCCCTCCAAGCCCACCCCTACTACAGAAAATTCTAAATGAGCAAGGCGATTAATTCAGTAAAGGAAGATGTCAAGCCTACAGACGAGAAAAAAAGATTGAATTATGAGTAGGCAGATGAACCAAGTAGAAATCCAGCAGTTGGAATTTGTTATAAAAGCAAATAATAAGAAATCACTCAAGAAATAGAAAACTTAAAAATGTTTCTCAGTATGGTATAAAAGGGAGATGGAGAGTTTCTCTTTGCAGCAACAGGAATTGGGAAAACACAACTGTCAGAAGATTAAGTGTTACTTGTGAGTGTTTAGAAATATGATGAAAATAGGTTAGGTAATTACAGAAAATGTCCTTCAGTTGCTTCCCCTGTGTATCACAAAAATCAGTTTGATACTCCTTTTTTTCTTTTTTTAGTTTTACAAATTCAGGGCCTTCTTCTCTCAGAGCTGTGATGGCCAAAGAAGGGTTGCTACCAGAAGGTCAGTTTGAATCTACTTTAATTATGTTTTGGTAGTGAAACCATAGTTGGAAAGCAATGTATAACCTTGAGTTTGTAAGATCTGTTACTTTTCACTCATTGTCAGCATCAGAACATAAGGCCCTCATAAGCCTAGGAGAATTCATTTTAAAGCAGGGAAGTTTTGGGGCGCCTGGGTGGCGCAGTCGGTTAAGCGTTCGACTTCGGCCAGGTCATGATCTCGCGGTCCGTGAGTTCGAGCCCCGCGTCGGGCTCTGGGCTGATGGCTCAGAGCCTGGAGCCTGTTTCTGATTCTGTGTCTCCCTCTCTCTCTGCCCCTCCCCCGTTCACGCTCTGTCTCTCTCTGTCCCAAAAATAAATGAAAAACGTTGAAAAAAAAAAAAAAAAAGCAGGGAAGTTTTGTAACATGAAGTGGAGAGATTTAGCCAGGGTCTAACGTGATGCATCTAGGAGGTTAAGACTGGAGGGATCATAAGGGAATTTCAGAGAAAATTCTGCCCTTCAGCTGTTTTGCCTTTACAATTCTGTCCAGCACTGATATTATTGAACCATTTGGTACCTTAAGTACCTGAACTGGATGACGAATCTCTGCTCCCTATAGAAAAATTTAGATACCTTACCAACTTCTGCCTATATATGCTAAAGCATATTGCCTTTTGGTGCCTTTTCTCATTTTATGCTTGTTTTTATTTTTTTAAAATATAATTTATTGACAAATTGGCTTCCACACGACACCCAGTGCTCATCCCAACAAGTGCCCTCCTCAGTGCCCATCACCCACTTTCCCCTCTCCCCCACCCCCCATCAACCCTCAGTTTGTTCTCGGTATCCAAGAGTCTCTTATGGTTTGCCTCCCTCCCTCTCTACAACTTCTTTTTTTTCCCCTTCACTTCCTCCCATGATCTTCTGTTAAGTTTCTCAAGATCCACCTATGAGTGAAAACATATGGTATCTGTCTTTCTCTGACGTTTCACTTAGCATTAATACCTTCCAGTTCCATCCACGTTGCTACAAATGGCCAGATTTCATTCTTTCTCATTGCCAAGTAGTATTTCATTGTATACATAAACCACATCTTTTTTATCCATTCGTCAATTGATGGACATTTAGGCTCTTTCCATGATTTGGCTATTGTTGAAAGTGCTGCTATAAACACTGGGGTACAAGTGCCCCTATGCATCAGCACTCCTGTATCCCTTGGGTAAATTCCTAGCAGTGCTATTGCTGGGTCATAGGGTAGATCTATTTTTCATTTTTTGAGGAACCTCCACACTGTTTTCCAGAGTGGCTGCACCAGTTTGCATTCCCACCAATAGTGCAAGAGGGTTTCCGTTTCTCCACATCCTCCCCAGCATCTATAGTCTCCTGATTTGTTCATGTTAGCCACTCTGACTGGCGTGAGGTGGTATTTCAGTGTGGTTTTGATTTTTATTTCCCTGATGAGGAGTGACGTTGAGCATCGTTTCATGTTTACACTTGTTTTTAAATTGAGGCTTGATCTGATGGAAATATACATTTGGAAAAATTTTCTCTGCTGTCTCAACATTCCTCATTCATGTATTTGTACAGCTATCAGGATTAGCATGAAAGAGATATTTATTCCAAGATCCCTCTCCTTTTGATGTTGTTACACTCTGTTTATCCACAGTTATTTTCATAACAATTTATTGTGTTGCCACAAACTAGGGACAAGTCTCTGGAGGAAATAGTGTTCCAAGGCATGGCCATCATTAGGAGACAATAAACTTGTTTTCATTCCAACATTCTTAGCTTTGTTAAAGGCTAAGTGGAAGAAATTAACATACTGCACGCCTTACAAAGAAAATTGTTTCTAATTATTTTGCTTCTCGAATTATTCCGTGAGGCATTGATTGGACTTTAAATCTGTTTCATATCAGTTACCCTCAGCTAACATAATTTTTCAGTGTTGTGAGAGACAGTCTATTAATTCAAATAAGATTATCCTACTAAATAAAAGTAAATAAAATTACTTGGGTAGCCAGAATATTCAAGTAGCCATTAATATTGGTCAGAAGTTAAAAGTAGGATGAGCCAAGTATCTAAATATCTACAAGTTAGCATGCAAATTCTGATTGTCTGCACCTTTTGGGCAAAATAAAATTCAACTTAGAAAAATGTTAAGGAAAGTGTTTATTAAGCTATCATGGGCTGTGGAAGGCAGAATGATAATGTCCCAAAGATGTCTAAGTCTTAATACTTGTGCATATTTTACCTTACGTAGCGAAAGGGAATTTGCACATGTGATGAATGTTAAGGATCTTGAAATGGGGAGAGTACCCTGGATTATTATTCTGGTGGGTCCAATCTAATCACATGAGTCCTTAAAAGCAGAGAATTTTCCCAGCTGTTGTCAGAGGGAGGGATAATAATGCAAGGTCTGTTAGAGAAAACATTGCTGGCTTTCAAGATGGAGGAAGGGACTCTAAAGCCAAGGAGCCCAAGAAGCTTCCAGAAGCTATGTCTCTCCTGGAGCCTCCAGCAAGAATGCCACCCTGTTGACACCTTCGTTTTAATTAGATGAGACCTGTGTTGAACTTGTGATGTACAGAATTGTAAGATAATGAATAAGTGTGCTTTTTAACCACTTAAATACGTGGTAGTTTGCTGTGGCAGCGATAGTAAATTAACATAAGGCCATATCTTGGCATGTGATATTTTAAGTTAATTATGATAGTTTAGAAAAGCTCTATGAGATAGCTATAATTAGCTTATTCCTTTTTTTAAAAAAAAAAATCACAACTCTCTAGAGATTTAACAAAATTAACATTGACAGATAATTAATTAAGTTAGGAGTGATAGACCCAGATTGGGTTGTGCATGTAGGTATTGACAAGGTGCTGTTTTCCAGATTTTCACGTGAAAGCACAAACACGACCTCACATTCCTGCCTCACACAAATAGAGCATGAAATTGAAGGAAGGGATTTAATTTTTGGCTTTTCATGGAAAGATATCTCTGTTTATAAACTTTAAAAAATCTATATGTTTCACACGGTTGCATTTTCTGAACTATAAGTGTGAACGTTTATTGACACTCCAGCAACCAAAAGTTATATTTTAATTGGAAAAATCAGAGTCCTATATCTTGCAAATTAGTTGAAGTCTCTCTACTCTTAAAAACATGTCCAAAGCATTATGCTGTTTTACCACAGTTCAATCTAGCTTCTGGAAGAATCTAAATTAATAGAAAAGCTAAAAGTCACATAGCAATAGAGATTAAAGACTTTTTAGACTTTCTCAGAGACAATGGCATTGGAAAACTATGAAGTATTTAACCCAGTTTACATTTGAATTAAAGATTAAAGAAATTGTTGGTAACGTTCAGATTACTAGATGGCCCACATAAGGGCGTAAAAATAGCCAACATTAATGGAGCACGTAATGTGTATTTAAGAAAAGAAAATTTATCTATGGCTTCAGCTTCTATTCTTTGTTCAAACTGACATTCATTCAAATGTCTATGGTCTGAATACTTGGAATGTATTGAGCCAAACATGGGTCACTTAGGAATTGCCCAGAATTAATTGTTTTCATTTTCATCTCAGTGACTTGCAGTCTGTGACACAGGTTTTAGGATGAATTCAGGCACACCAGCTGTCACTTTGGCAGACGTGATGCTATGTTTGATGTATCCCAAATCCTTCAAAACTGTGAATCCGACTCAAGATCCATACCACTGTGGTTAATCCATTTGCACACACTAAGCTATTAAATAAATGTTCATTATTCTCATTGGAAGTAGTTTGGCTATTTTACTAAGGCCCTGCATGTAGACATTCAAGATGATAGTGATTTGTCTTGCCCAGGTTTCCCCATTTTTAAAAATGATAGTTTGCCACGCCTGATGCCAATTTGTAGGATGCAATTGTGAGAAATATGGAAAACATCAGGAATGAATAAGCCTATAGACTTTGGCAGGAGAGATTGTTTGTATAGTGGACTGTTTATATTGTTCACACATTAGAGTTTGCGGTTCCCAAGTGATCCTCTGGCTGAGCCAGAGGATATCTGTTTGGAGTTCCATTTCTGGTATGGTCCGATGACAAACCCCCGACTTAAGTGTCTTGCTAGACTCAACAGGGCAGCTATAGGTAGCATCAGTTAGGAGCTGGCTCCAGGCCAGAAATAAGAACACGGGCGTATTCTTCTAGCAGGCGCCCTGCCCGGATACTCAGGAGGGATTAGGGTGATTTGGGACCTCAAGGGCTTGGCCTGCGCTTCATTAGTTGGAAAGGTGGGAGCTCATTCCATCTCTAGAGACTTCCCACAGTTGACTCCACGCACAAGGCTCTGTGCAAACATCACAGCACTGGCAAGCGAAAGAGGACGAGGGAAAGCATCATGGGGAGACAGACTCTAAATTAAGGGAGGTAGATGTGGGGGAAACCCAGGTATCCTCATGGACTGGAACCTTATTCAGTGAAAGTAGGATTTTGCTCTAAGTATCATAAAATGTGGAAATGGCTCCTAGAACATCTTTTATAGGATATAGCTGTCATGGTAGGAACCATGGCCAGATCTGACTATGAGGGAGAACGATACACTCTAGAACAACACTGTCCAATATGGGAGCCCCTAGCAGTATATGGCTATTTAAATTAATGTTAAAAATTCAGTTCCTGAATGGCCCTCGCCATATGCTCGACAGCCCTGTCCACCTGCTACCATATTGGTGGGTACAGATACAGACCACTTCCATTGCTGCAGAAAGTTGTTTCACAGATTCCTCTAGAACCAAGCCAGGCTCTTCTGTGAGCTGGAGGGCTGAAATGTTGAATCTCAGCATGACACTCTGCTTTCTGCTCTTAGTTAAAAGGCTTGCCAATCTTTGCAGTTGAGCCGGAGAAGTCTGTAAGCCACGAGTTCCTAGAGATGTTGCTGGACCCTTAGACTGGATAGCAGAAAATTTGAGAGCATCCTTGCGATAATCGCTTATTCATCCACTTTGTTCCCACTACTCCTAGGACTCATTTCACCATTTAGCAAATATTTTCTGAGACCCTACTCTTTACCAGATGCTACTGCAGACACCAAGACTCTGGTGAAATATAAAAACAAGGGCTCTGCTCTTAATGCAGCTTATATTCTATGTTGCTGATATGCCAGTTAGAAAAAAATGTCAAAGATGTAGGATAATTTCACACTGTATTAAGCTCTGTGAAGAATATTTTAAAGGCGGTGGAGGAGGGGAGGTTGATGTTCAGGTGATCAAAAAAGGCTTCCTTGAGAATAAGCTAGTCATACAAAGAATTAATAATCCATTTGTTCTACAAATGTATATTTAACAACTGTTGTTAGCCAGCTACTGGTTTATGTGACCAGTGTGGTATTATACCACTAAAATTCCATAAATTTGAGAGCAATTCAAGACCTATGTTCATTCCCAGTATAGTGAATTTGATTCTCATGCATGTGATCCTGAGATGAGTATCTTTAAAAATAACTAAAAGAAACTTATAGGGATAGGCAGTCTAATCATCAGGACACCTGAATGCTCCATTGAACTTGATTCATTAGAAAATGAGAAACAATTAAAAGGAAGCAAATATCATGACCAAAGTTGTACTGATATCAAAAGGAATGATAGATTAGAAAGAAAAAGCGAATCATGAAAAACCATCAGAAACTCTTAAAGTGATTTAGGTTAAAAGCAACAGAGGGACAACATTGAGTTGGATCTATAAGCATAGAAATAATAAAAAGAAGCAAAATGCCTTGAGTCAAAAGTAACGCTGAGATTTTATTTTTTTTATTAAAAAAATTTTTTTAAAACGTTTATTTATTTTTGAGACAGAGAGAGACAGAGCATGAACGGGGGAGGGTCAGAGAGAGAAGAAGACACAGAATCTGAAACAGGCTCCAGGCTCTGAGCTGTCAGCACAGAGCTTGACGCGGGGCTCGAACTCACGGACTGTGAGATCATGACCTGAGCCGAAGTCGGCCGCTTAACCGACTGAGCCACCCAGGTGCCCCAACCCTGAGATTTTAAATTTGATGTCTGAGAGAAGGGTGATGGTATTTTGAGATAAAACCAAACCAAAAAATATTAGGAGAAATAGTTTGGGTTCAGTTCTACATATTATAAATCTGTTATTACTCGTTCTTTAGTTGCAGATGCATACTTTTCCTTTTTCTCAAGTTCTGAGACAAGCAAAAATAATAAAGGAAAACATGATTTCATGCCAGACACTAAGCGAGAAAAAATTTATCATGCCCAACATAATTTTAAGCCTCCCACGTTATCCAAAATATATACGCTGCAAATTAGAATTTCCAAATTAGATCCTCCTTCTTATTATGATTAACTATGAAACAACAACAACAACAGCAAGTCTTTGTCTTCTTTGGAATCGTTTTTATTTTTATTTTATTTATTTTTTTTAACGTTTATTTATTTTTTTGGGACAGAGAGAGACAGAGCATGAACGGGGGAGGGGCAGAGAGAGAGGGAGACACAGAATCAGAAACAGGCTCCAGGCTCTGAGCCATCAGCCCAGAGCCCGACACGGGGCTCGAACTCACGGACCGCGAGACCGTGACCTGGCTGAAGTCGGACGCTTAACCGACTGCGCCACCCAGGCGCCCCTAGAATAGTTTTTAGAACGTACAGCATGAATAATATGTTTCCAAAATAAAGTCCGTTAACAGCAAAGTCTAATAAAAAAGTAAACCGGACTACATGTATTCATATATTAGCTTGACCCATGTCTGGGATCAGGGCCAAAATTTTCAAATTATGCTATCATTATTTACCAAAAAAAAGGGAAATGTTAGCTAACATTATTAAATAAAAGCACGTATATGCATGCATAACAGGAACCAAAATAAATGCTAATGTTAATGAATGTTGAAGATGTATATTTCTACACACAGCGAAGATAAAATATCCTCTTGAGTAGTATTGGAAATAGTAGCTCTGCCAGGGGAAAATTTATACAGTCTCCTTGGCTGTAGGGTATACATTTATTGTGTTAGAGAAATATCCAAAAAAGCCACTTCCGCAGTTGCCCAAAACAAAATTGAAATTGAACATTTTGCATTTCAAGTTCTTTCCACCGCTTCATTTCTTGATGAATGGCAGATAATGAAACGTAGGTGTCTGCAAAAATAAATGTAGTATATGAGGTGCCTTGGTCTTCTATCAAGTACATGTTTTATGTATTTAAAGAAAGAAATTGCATCTGTTCGGAGAGTTGCTCGACGGACCCCGTTTTGAGTCATATTTCATTTTCTGCATTCCTTTTGGTTCAGGGCAGATGCTTTCATACTTTGTTAGGATTCCCTATCAAGGCAAGTAGTGTTTTGTGCTTAAAAGAGTGTTCCTAATCAGACTAGACATTTAGGCCACCTATGGAGACAAACATCCCAGTTTTCTATCCGAAGTATTTGATCTCTCTTGCCCCATTGTCGTTTTGTGTGTTTGGGAGATGATCATCTTGGTGTGGGGTCCTGGTTTTCCCAGTGACTTTGCAGCACAGAAACTTGGTTGAAATGTTGATGATCCCAGACAAGAAGAAGGTGATGATGACAAGAAAGGATAATTGGGAAATAGTGCCCTGGGGAAGAAATAGTTTGGCAGGGAGAGAAGTGCTTGACCACTTTTTCTCAAAGGACATTTATTTTTGAAAGACAGAGTTAAGAGTGTGCAATTGCAGGGGCAACTTGATTGTTGAAGAAATACATACCCCGGCATGCTTAAACTCGTTTGCTTTAAAGGTTAAACACACACACACACACACACACACACACACACACAGAAAAATGTGCATCTCTTTTCAGTGATTTCCAAACTGTCATTGTGAATAGTAATCCAATACTTCAGTTTAGGAATTGAGAGGGTTTTAAATAAGAAGCAGATATAAATGCCAGCAGTCAAAAAGCCTGTGAAAAGATACGATTCAAACTGAGATTTTAAATATTTATCTGCCAATTCTTGACTTTTGAAGTCCATAGACATGTTGCCTCGAGAGAATGAAAAATGTGAAAATATTAAAGAAAGGCATAAGAAATACTCTTTTTTTTTTTCAATGTTTATTTATTTTTGGGACAGAGAGAGAGCATGAACGGGGGAGGGGCAGAGAGAGAGGGAGACACAGAATCGGAAACAGGCTCCAGGCTCTGAGCCATCAGCCCAGAGCCCGACGCGGGGCTCGAACTCACAGACCGCGAGATCGTGACCTGGCTGAAGTCGGACGCTCAATCGACTGCGCCACCCAGGCGCCCCTAAGAAATACTCTTAAAAGAAACAAATTAAGACAGTATTAGTATTGGTATGAACTCTAAACCCAAACAGAAAATACTCAATATGATTGGATATTAGTTTGAAGGAGAAGAAAACTATTATAAAAGTAATTTTTTATTAGCATCAATTATTTTTATTCTTTCTTTGGCCTTGTTACTTACCAATCAATTACTACATGGTAGTAGACTTTGCCTTTTGTTTATTACATAAGAAAGGTTTTATGCTCAGGGCACCTGGGTGGCTCAGTCGGTTAAGCATCCAACTTCAGCTCAGGGCATGATCTCGGGGTTCATGAGTTCGAGCCCCACATCGGCTCTGTACTGACCCCTCAGAGCCTAGAACCTGTTTCAGATTCTGTGTCTCCCTCTCTCTCTGTCCCTCCCCTGTTCATGCTCTGTTGACTCAAATAATGAATAAACATTAAAAAAAAAAAAAGAAAGGTTTTATCCTCTCATTTTTGGGGAAATGTTTTAACTAAATTGTCTAATTGAACTAATTGAATGTTGTAAATGCTATGGGACCAGTTCAAGCCAGGCTTCATTGGAAACATCTCTCTATTATTCCAGGATTCTTTGCTTCCTGTCTGTCACCCTGATTCTTCAAAGGCTCTGTCCTCCTGGCCTCTGCTCAGAGCTGTCTTTTTCCTGGTAGTTGAGAAATCTTAAAAAAAATTCACATGTTGCTGATCCAAATATTACCTTACTCTCTGACATAGCGATACGTATTTTGTTAAACTTTTTTTTATTCTTATGGGTATGTGTCTCTCCATGCCTTCATGGATTTATTTTATCAGTACGCACAGATTTGCTCATTCCTTTTAATGGCTATATAGTATTTCCATGTGTCAATTAGTCACTGCATGGTTATCTGATTTGTGTATATTTCCTTCCAATGGAAGTGGTGCCTTCGTGAGCATCTAGCCATTTGTTTTTCAGTTTGTTGGTCCATGAGTCTATCTCTGATATTCTCCACCCAGGATATACTGCACACTACTGAAGATTAGAGTTTTTAAAGTCAGACTGGTAAGTCATACGCCATATATAAAGAAAATAAGATAGCATTGCCAAAGGGCTGTGCAAAGCTTTGTATCAATTTATATTCTTACTGCTTCTTTACTGCAACTATTGCCACACGAACTCAACAGCACTGGATATTATAATTCTTTTATTTTTTAACCAAGTGTGTTGTCAAAAATAGCGTCTTAACTGCTTTAAAAAATTTTTTTTTACATCTCTAGTGTGTTTTGTGGTATACAGTTATACCTAAATATTTTAATAAACATTGGCTATTCCTTTATTTTTTATAAGAAAAAAAAACACATTGATAAAAAAATACTTGAACATGTGTGCAGTATAAACAGACATTTTAATGGGGATTTTTCTTGGTAAGTATTTGTGATGTTTTTAATTTTTATAATCATAATTTAAGAGGACTGTATTGAAATGGACACATTGATTCCTCTAAATTATACTGTTCAAATATTTTCTCAGTGTAATTATAGATGTTCTTTGTAACAAAGGGATTTGGACTGAACTATGAAAAGTTCTAAAGAGATTAGATAGTAATCATCACACTAATATATAAAATGTATCACATCTTAAATTAATGAAATACATAGTCTAAGATTATATCAACCAGCAGTTTATTAAGTTTGCTCCGTTGACTGCCAATTTCCTTTAATAATGAAGGCTCCCTAAATATGCTTGGCTCTTTTCCATACGCTAATTTGTACACTTATCACCAATATTTGATCTTAAAATTTGAAATATTCTTTAATTGAAATAAGTTTACAATTTCTATTTTAGTAATCTCTGTATGAACAGCCAGTCTCACAGAGGAACGGTGTCTAGAGTTACAGGTCAATATGGTTGGTTAATACCATTCTTTTTTCATGAGCGTCTACAGGAAAATTTTATAAATAGCCTTTTTAATGCAAGAGTTCTCTTAAACTCACACCCATTATAATTCTGCACAGAAATAAGATGGCCAAATGTGTGGAAATAAATTCTATTTGTGTATTAAATATCGAAGATAGGAAAAAGTATGCATATAAAATTTAAAGCTAGCTAAGGATTCATTGAAAAAATTTTTGTATACCGTCTCTCCAAATCTGGTTTTAAAGAGACTGTAACATAATTCCGGGACTAAAGACCTTCTGGAATTGGGGTTTATGGAAAAGAGATTATAGCTCCATACGGTTCTAGAAATGCAAAGGGTCTGAATGATCCTCTAGGCAGAAGGTACTTTTTTTTTTTTCCATGCCAAAGATTAAATGTGGATTCTAAAAATACTGCTTTGAGCAAGCACTCATTTCTTCCACCAGCATTAAATTTTGTATTGATTAATAGTTACCATTTCTTCCCCATTTGGAAAGAAAACCTGTAGGGACAAAAAGCACTGTTCTGCTTACATTAAAATCCCTACTGACTATGAGAGGTAAGCATTGATCTTTGATAGGAGGGTGCAGTTTAGTGAAGAAATAATTTGAACCCTGGATGAGGTGACGCTTCTGTTGATATCGTGATCGAAACAGGATGTATCTGATGTCAGTCTAAAGAATTGTATTCTTGTAAATTTCCATATTGATCATTTCAGAGCATTTTGAGATGGAAAATTTCTTTCGACTTTGAAAAGTAACTCTTTTTTAAAAAAGTGACTCTTTGTGATAATTCTTTTGAAAACTTATCTGAGTACAAGGAGAATACCTGAACACCGGTGGTGGGGGGGGTGACTACAGGGGGGTGACCGCTGTAGAATATCAAATAGTGTCTCAAAATTTATCAGGCTCTGGAAAAATCTATTGAGGTTGTAGAAGGTAATCAAGTAATGGCTAGAAGATGCATAAACCTGAATCCTCTTATGTGGTGTTCCATGGCTTTTGTAGAAGGGAAGTCATAGCTGAAGGTGACAGAGACTAGGGTGCAGCCTTTTAATGCTTGCAACATCTTCCAGCTCATGTTGGGCCAAAATTGCAATAAGGAAGCTCACAGCAGCTGCCTACACTGTCTTTGGTTCTAACTCAGATGAGAACATTTATCATTTCTTTGCCCTTCATGAATACACATGCATGCGCATTTTCAAATAAAAAGTCAAAAGATATTTCAAGGTTTGGATAGAATCTCATACTTAAAAGTAACTCAAAAGAGCAATATCTTTGAAACTTTACCAAGTATTAAACAAATAGCAATGTGTATGTCTTCAGATCTGTCAGATGTCTGGAAATTGTATTTTTGATATGAAAACAGCAGGTTAAATTTAACCTACAACAAGGCCACACAGACTCCTGACTGTTTTACTTAATTGTCCTAAAATGTAAAGTAAGACTAATTTTGAAATCACATTGATAGTATTTGAATAATAAAAAACAGTGTTTCTTTATTATATTTTTTCTACAGACTTTTGTACATATACAATATCTAATTTAATATTTCTAACAATATAAAAATAACAATATTTAATTGTTATTTTTATGGTTTAAGTGATTTGTTTGGGATCTATTAAGTATCTAGAGGGAGAAAAACCCATTCTTTCATAATGTCATTATGCTGTGCTATTCCAATAGCACTTAATAGATGGTTGACATTCTCTAAAATTAAACTTGTAGCATGGGAGCTTAGAAAATAGTACATATATCTGGATTTTCGAGTAATACTTTAGAATGATTATTACCATAATTTAAAGTTAGTTTTGAAAAAAAACTCCTAGGGGGCACCTGGGTGACTCATTTAGTTCATCGTTTGACTCTTGATGTTGGCTTAGTTCATGATCTCATGGTTTGTGGGTTCAAGCCCCACATGGGGTTCTGTGCTGACAGTGCAGAGCCTGCTTAGAATTCTGTCTTCCTCTCTCTGTGCCCCTCCCCTACTTGCTCTCTCTCTCAAAATAAATTTTAAAAAAGACAGAAAGAAAAAAAAAGAAAAAAAACATTGCCTCGAAAATTGTCCTTTTTTTTTTTTTTTTTTTGGTGGGAAGGACATTCTTTTGGTATACTCTGGTAATCTTTATGACTCACTCGTTATTTATCGATCCATTCACTATATTCCTAAATTTAAATATATTTCAGAGTTAGTATGTTTATTTTTTAAATTTGTTTAATGTTTATTTTTGAGAGACAGAGAGAGAATACAAGTGGGGAGGGGCAGAGAGAGAGGAAGACAGAGAATCCCAAGCAGGCTCCAGGCTCCCAGCTGTCAGTGCAGAGCCCGACACGAGGCTCGAACCTATGAACCCCGAGATCATGACCTGAGCCAAAGTCTGATGCTTAACTGACCGAGCCACCTAAGCGCCCCCAGAGTCAGTATGTTTAAATGGAACAAATAAACCAGCGGTGTCACAGTGTAAAATTTGTTTTTCAAGGTAGTTCTTACATGGAAAATGTGATTCATAAAGGTGCCACAAAACTCTGCTTCCCCATAAGGGCAAATATTTGTTCTTTGATACACCATATCTTTATTGAATATCCATTACGTACAATCACATTGTTCCAGGCTCTGAGTTCATAGTGATGATCAAAACAATCCATCGGTTAAGAGCTCTCTGGCTCAGGTTACAGTCCTGTTTGGGAAAACAGTATTAATGAGATAAGCATATTAATCATTGATTCAAATTTAGATGATTATTCTGAAAGAGACAGATTGAGACATTAAAACTAGCTCAAAGTAGGCAATCAGGGAAGCCTTCCTGAAGAGTTCCTGACTGAGCTGAAAGAATCTTGTAGGTTAAGGTGACACAGGAGCCTGGCTTGGAGTGGGGGGAAGGGGGGGTATTTGAGGAGTGGGGACAAGCAGTGGGAAAGGCTGGACCAGATGGGAGCTAGAACTATTCAAGGAAGGGAGAAAAAAAAAGTCCCCAGTTGATGGAAAGCAGAGGGCAGTGATGTCAGAGAATCCAGGGGCTCATTTAGGCAAGAAGTCTGAAATTTATCCAGAAAACTGAGAAGCCATTAGAGGGATTTGGTGAGGACCAGATGAGATTAGCATTCGAAGCTGTCTCTCAGCCTGCAGTATGGCGGTGGTGGTGGGGGGATGGGATGGGTGTAGAGTGGGTTGGGGGAGGGGAGGCAAGCTAGGAGGGCAGGGGAAGGACAGTGACAGGAATCGGGGCAGGAGTGGACAGTCACCTCTCTGTAGTTGTGTTTTTACAAGGAAACACACGTTTCAAAGAATTTTCTATCTGATAGAGGGATAAGCGCCCACCTCCCACCCCCCAGACAGCGGGGAAGACCGCCCCAGTAAGAGTGCGTGCTCCCTTACCTACAAGCTGAACTCCAGCTCTGCATGGTAATGTGATTTTAAACCATTCAAATCCATAAAAATAAAGTAAAAAAAGTCAAAAGATCCTTTTATGCTTTTGCTTGTCAGAGGTTTAGACTTTTAGTAGCCCACATTTGGTGCAGTTTGACGAGATCTGCCTTTAAGTGCAGCTCCCGACCCCTGCCCCTGTAAAAAAAATGACAAGTGATACCGGTCTTTGTTAATAAGCACGACTGGGTTAGGATTGCCACAGAGTCAATACTTACGCCAACGAGAACATTGCAGCCAAACCCAGAAAATATTATATGTTTTGCTAAGTGAAAAGCATCTCTCTGAGTATCTGGAAACCTCATTGTCTTGCCATGCTGGCTCTTTTATGAGTTACCGTAACCAAGCTACAGCCATAATATAGCTGACCAGCAGTGATGACGAAATCAATCGCCACTAAAACAAAACTAAATGGTGTTCGGGGTGCAAGAAACACTTAGCCAGTTTTATCTTCGGGGAGAAACACCTGACTTAAATAGATTTCACCTCCTGGTATTTCATATGTTAATAAAACTTCAATTTTACTAAAATTTCTGCAATATCTAATCAATGCATACGTCTAAGTATACATAATGGTGTGCTTACTTTGTTCTCGCATAGAATCAGTGTACGCTTTAGATGGGCCATACAGGAGTGCCTGGGTGGCTCAGTCGGTTGGGCGGCCGACTTCGGCTCAGGTCATGATCTTGCGGTCAGTGAGTTCAAGCCCTGCGTCGGGCTCT